ACGTCAGCGACTCACTGAGGTGCACTTTTTGGTGCGGGTAAATTTCTCCACTAAGATGGCAAAATTACTCTTTCAAATTGTTAAAGAAAGGGTGGGTTGGAGGAACATAAGGGCAAATTTAACCAGCCGACACGCGGCTAAATGAAACCCTCATTTTTTGCAGTGAAGGTGAGGGGGGGGGGCAATCAAATGAACTATGAACGGCGCCTCACCCGGTTCTTCTGACAGAGCGGCAAGGACTGCACGAAAATGGGATCATCCCCATCGGCTTCGACGAACCTCCCGCCTCGGAACTAGAAAAAAGAAACACCCAGTGTCACATTGAAAATAAGAAAACCGGAAATGGAAACGACGTGCCATTGGCGCTGGCCACACCTTGGCCGGACAGGGCATGGCCTGCAGCCTCGGTGGTGCCTCGGCCAAGGCTTGCCGTGGCGTGGCGACGTGGCGTGGCACGCGGCACGGGGTGCAGTCAGGGGTGCTTGAGGGAGGTGGGGGTATCTCTTAAGTCGGGACTGCGGATCAATGCCCCCAAGGGCGGAGAGCGACAACACCCCTCCCTCCCCTCCCCCCTCCCCCAGCGCCGGACCGCACGCCGGCCGAGACTGACTGGGCGTCAAATGGGGCCGTGGCAACGAACAGGTACTGCGCGGCGCGGCGTCCTCCGGGAGTGTTTCCGGGAACACGCGGGGGAGTGCCCGGAGCCCGATGACCCTTCGCGGCGTTGTTTCGTCGCTGTCTCTGTCGCACTCGTGGGACGTCCCGTCGTCGGGGTGCACCCTTACCAAAACGAAAGTACGAAAGGAGTGTGGATCCTGGAGGATATTAGTGTGCATCGGTGTGCCACGGTGCTAATTCAGTAGGCCCTAGTGCGTCCTTCGAACTTTCCTTCCTACAGTAGGTGTGCCAAAAGTATGACCAAGGTGGAACTGTGCGACATTGGTGTGTCCAGTGCGAATCTGGTCCACCTCAGATCGCACTTCGCACTATTCGCACTTTCCTCACACCACTTCGCATTGGTTGAGTTGGAAGCACGCCTCTAACTTATACCAGTTCAAAATAAGCGAAATTGAACAGTCAAGTTTCTTCCCATTATTTTCTAGTTGTTTAAGATTTGCGAAATAGTTGAAACTTTGAAATGATTGCCTCAAATTTCTTCTTTGATGAAAGTATCATATTCAAGCTAAAATTAACCGATCTAATGTTTGTAGTCTGAATTTCGGAACTAATAACCTTGTTACATATTAAACAAGTGAACTTAAAATAAAATGAACATGAGTCAAGGCAGCAAGAGTCGAAATGTCAAGGCAATGATAGAAAGCGGCAAGTTGTGTGTGGCAGCGCAGCGGCAGCGTCAGTCACCGGGCCGCTGGCCGGAGAGAGATACGGCTTCCCGCTCCACTGCCTCGCACAGCGAAGCCGTGGTGTAATGGATAAGGGGCAATGGCAGTGATCAAAAAGACTGTGTTCGAGGCCCGTCTCGGCGACCTTTTTTGGCGGTGGTCGCACTTAGTTCGCACCAAAGTCGCACCAGGTGGAGGGCGGAAATCGATGCGAAAAATGAAACCTTTTCCTATCAACTTCGCACTGCCGAACCAGTGCGAAAGAAGGTTGATAAGAGTGCGACCGGACTCACTAAAATCTCACTTCCAATTTTGGTAAGGGCAAGAGAGAGAGAGAGAGAGAGAGAGAGAGGGGGGGGGGGAAGGAGAGAGAGAGGGAGGGAGGGAGAGAGAGGGAGGGAGGGAGAGAGAGTGAGAGAGAGAGAGAGCGAGAGAGAGCGACAAAACGCTCAGCTCTAGGCTGGCGGCGTGTGTTGATTTTGATTGCTTCGCTGGTAAAACCAAGGGTAACACCGAAGCCTGTTGTACGCTTCATTGAAGCGGCTGAAGACCTTCCGCCCTTCTTGAAACGTATGTACAAGTACGCTTCAAGGCAATGTCTCCCATGCATCTAGACAGAACACCATCATGCCAGGAACGGTGACATCACGTTGAAACGAATGTGACAAGATGTCACGTTCTTTGCATTGTGTCACATTCGTTTGAGCGCGAATAAGCTAATTTATGGCTGATTCATATCCTTACGAACGTGACACAATGCTCAAAGGAACGTGACATTCCTTTCACTGTGATGTCACGTTTCTGGAATGAGAGTGAAGGGGCGAAGCGCACGTTGGCTTCGAGAAGGACGCACAAGGCTCAATGAAAGGTGCTACGTTATCCGCTTTAGTTTTACCAGTGTCGCTATTTGCACTGCTTGCACTGCTTGCACTGCTTGCAGGGTGACACCACACGGGTGGCACTACTCCTGCCTCGCCCGGCTGCCGGATGGATTAGAACGGTGCTTCCGGTGGCTGCAGCCCTTGTTTTCGCTGCGGTCGCCGCTCTGTCCCACCTGCACCAGGAGGGTGCTGGCTGGCTGCACGGCGGGGCTGGCGGGGCTGGCGGCACTCTTCAAAGCACACCAAAGCGCGCGCGCAAACGGTTGGCCTCGCCACGCCAGCCGGCGCCCCTTTACTTCTCTCCCCTGTAATGCCCCCTCCCTTCCCCTCCCCCCCCCCCTTCCCCCTCTCGCCCTCGGGGCGCGGCCCTCCAATTAGTGTGAATAAATAAGTAGCCGCCTCTCTTTGCGGGGCGATTTGACGGCCATGCCGCCTTTTCGACTGCTTTTGTCCTCGTCGCGCCACCGGGTCGGCGCCGAGCAGGCGGAGCAGGCCGTCTTTGTCTACCTCTCGCGCCTTTTGCTTCCTTCCGGCCAACCCAAGGCCAACCCAAGGCCAACCTCGGGCCAGTGGCGGATCCAGAGCCGGCCCGAGGAAGTACCACATTTTGTCGACTTAAATAGGATCGGTATGGCTTTTGTTGCCCACCTTTTTAGTGGCCATGGGGCTGTCAATCCGAAGGTCAATCCGTGCTGGACTGACTCTGAGTCCCTCTAGTCCGCGCCTGTCTCCTCCGCCAACGGCGGGTCATGGTCAGTCTAGCTCCGGGCGTGCCGTTACAGCCGGTTACAGCGCACTCTTTAGGTGCGAGAGAGACAGAGCGACGAAACGCAGTTCGGAATATCATTCTCTCGCTGCGAATGGAAACGCGTGCTTGGGCCGCGATTACGACGCCAAAAGCCGAAAGTCGTTGTCCGCCAGATTGCGAGTACCCTGCTTAATGACGCCCCCTCACCGAGGCGGCCGAGGCAGGCCGAGGTCGCCAAACTTCCTGGAGAGTGAAAATTACGCCGCAATAAGACAGACGAGCGAAGCTTAGGCTGCGCGAGACCATGGTGAGACTGGTGAGACTGATGAGACGCGAGACACCCGGCCCGACCCGGACCGCCCCGTCCGCCCCGCCGCCGCCGGCATAGCGGCGAAAAATGGCGATAAAAGAAACTTGTACCGAGCAGAATCGGGGCGGCGGGGGCGGCAGGGGCGGCGGGGGCGAGCATTCTTTTTGTTCCTGTCCCGCCGAGCCGCCGTGGTGGCATTCATGAAGACCCCCTCCCTCTCCCTCACTTCTTTTCTCGGACCGGGGTGGAAATCTCTCTTCTCTTTTTTGTCTTTTCTCTTCTTCTTCATTTTTTTTTGCCTTGCCGCCGCCTCTTTTACCTTTTCCGGCCACGCCACGCCACGCGTGAGCCGAGCCGTCACGGCGGACCGGCCCCGCAAAAGCGAAATCAGGGAGGCTTTATTTGCCTGGCATCCTCGTCGCCACGGAACACCGCATTCGTCTTTTGTGCACTTGGGCGCGACTAGGCTCGACCTGCCAGCCAGCCCGTGCCTCGCCGCCGCGCCGCGAAAAGGGGGCAACCCCCACAAAGTACCTCGCTGCCCCCCCCCCCCCCCCCCCCGCCACGTAGTTTGGTGAGCTTTTTATTGCGACACAGGAAATGTCAGGGGTGTCGGCTCAACGCCCCCTACCCCCATACCCTTTCCCTGACTCGCCCCTGCCGTGCCCTCTCAACGCAACCCTTTAAAGCCCAGACCACGGGAAAGGGCGAGGGACGGGGGGAGTATGAACCACAACTGGAGTAAGCGCAGAGTGCACCCCCGCCAGCCAGGCTGAAGCCTTCAAATGCAGTTTCAGTGCGGTGGACTGATTCCGGGAGGTCGTTTTCTTCGCTCTGTCTCTCCCCCACCTAAAGGGCGCGCCTCGGAGTGCGAGAGAGACAAAACGACTCTCGGAATCAGTCTACTGGTGCTTTTATTACCGCAGAGACACTCGCCAGGTCCGTGCCCTCTGTGCCCGTAGCGGCCTGTAGCCTTCGCAGCCGTCGTAGCCTTCCCAGGGTCAACACTCAACATAAAACAGACTTTGTTCAAATAGACGACCCATTTTTCATGAAAAATGGATGTTCTTGTTAATTATAAATCAGGCACGGGCTCGAAAAAGAACTCTCCGGCGGGGAATCGAACCCCGGTCTCCCGCGTGACAGGCGGGGATACTGACCACTATACTACCGAAGATTGGTGAGAAAGGGCGTGGAAATAACAGTACATCTACAGTTGCTTAGTAGCAGGCGGTGCCGGCGGACATGACAGTGAGCTTGGCGCGAGAATTCAAATGGCGTCGATCAGCCAATGCTGTACTGTTCTTTATTGTTTTGGCCTGTTAAAGGTATTTTCTGCTTAGGAGTCATTAAAACTATTGTGAAACCTTCCTCTCTTGTGTTCAGTTTTTGTTTTGTTTGTTAAAAACCAATGGACTTAGTGAGTAGACATGTCTCCTGCGGATAGAGACCTCTACCTGCGAATAGAGAAGCTGATCTGTAAATAATGTCCCTGTAGATGCCAACATGACAAACAAAATATATTTCTTCAATATCATTTGATTATTACTTTTGTGCACAGCCATCTTCATATTTATATCTTTACTCCGAAAAAAATAGATTTTGATATCTGTTAGATATGATTTTAACGAGCCTTTATGCTTTAGTGGGACAAACAAAATGCCGCGGTGTTGGTTAACTCTATGATCGATTTTCAGTCTATCGATCTATTTCGAGTCTCGTCTGCTTCTTGTTTTTTTTTCAAGCTTGATAGTGCGTTGTTATTTTATCGGTCTAGCTCTTGCGTTTTGAAACTTTTAGATATTGTTAATTGCATTCCGTTTCACGTCTATCCTCTAGAATGGCGTGGGCTTCACCACTCGCCAGGATAGGCACATCCAATCTCTTGAAAGTTCGTTCTCAAAGTGTTCCAGCGGCCCTTTACCATGCTAAGGTACTTGCAGGTTATCACCTAGGTTATCACTATTATCTTTATTATCTACCATTCAGTTTTGCCGCATTCGTTTTCAAATTCATATACTGTGGCCCAGTAGCATTTAATAGATTATTTTGTGTGCTGACACCATGTTTTTAAAGAGAAAGACCATTGATGTCTGATGTGTGGTGTTGTGCAATTCCTCGCTGTGACTGTACACACTTCCTCTTTAATCGGTGTTAATTGATCTTCACAGGTGATTGACCATTATGAAAATCCAAGAAACGTTGGCTCACTGGACAAGAAGAAGTCAACTGTCGGCACAGGTTTAGTTGGAGCCCCAGCATGTGGTGACGTCATGAAACTTCAGGTGGAAGTTGATGAAAATGGAAAGATTGTCGACGCCAAATTCAAAACCTTTGGGTGCGGATCTGCTATTGCATCGTCCTCCTTGGCCACAGAATGGGTGAAAGGCAAAACGGTAAGAGCAGTTAATCTTATGCAACTTTGAAATGGTTACTTTCTATCCTGTTGCAATTGGTAAAGTTTGCCTTATAATTTATTGTTTACAGGTCGATGAAGCATTAAAGCTGAAAAATACTGACATCGCCAAAGAGCTGTGCCTACCTCCTGTGAAACTACATTGTTCCAGTAAGTTTTGGTCTCTAAATGTTGTTTGATAACTGACACGTCCACCACAATGCCGAGCAAAGGAAAAGAAGATTAAGCATCACCAGAACCAGTTCTCTAAATTGTCATAATTGGAAAACTAAGCATTATTTAACTAAATCCAAATTATAGAACCCCAAAGAACACATAATATTAACAAATTAGCGACTTTTAGTGTCTGTTTCCCGTTTCTGTTATTCTTCTTCTTCACTCGGCACTGTATCTACTCTGCAATGTGTTTGATACTGTGGAAATGCTGCCAATGTTGAGAAGCTGCCTCTCCACTCCCTCTGTTTGATTGAAGACGGCAACCATTTCTACCTACGGTTAACAAGACTGACAGACAAAAGTACCCTAATCGTATCCAGCTTTCTGCTGAGAGCTGAGAGCTTGAGTTGCTGTTTTATGTGGGCCTCAATTTGCCTCGCTCTACCTCTTCAGTCATGTCCCATCACTCAGTGTTATGCATTCTGTTTGAGGACCTTTTGCAAATGTCTGTTCCCAAAGATATGTAACCTATAAATGTTTTGTTTCAGTGCTTGCAGAAGACGCCATCAAAGCAGCTTTGGCCGATTACCGTGTAAAACAAGAGTCATTGAAGAAGGAATAGTTTTCAAATGCAGCATAAAGGTTTTCTTTTCATTGAAAGATTCTGGTACTGTGAAATGTCAAGTCAACATCCATAATTGATTAAGGATTATAATGATTGTGATATGTGTGTGATTGTGGAAAGTTGCAGCTTTTACAAGTTTCTTTATCATGCTTTTGTATTAAGTTGCATCTGAAACAGCTGTAACATAGATTTATGGTAGGTTGTAAACTTCTTGTTTAGATAACTGAATCTGTAGATCTGCAGAAATCATTTCTTCATTATATTTTAGTTCCTTCTGTCTTAAAAATTTCATTGGCAATACTTTTAGCAGTCATGATAAAGTTTGGGCTATTAAGGTGCCATAAATAAAACAAAAGTTTGGTTTCAGGAAATGGTCTATTTCCAATACTCTTTCTATTGATATGCATTACAAAAGTTCAACTATAGCAGCACAGCGAACATAATAAGAGGATAATGTTACTTAACAGTCCAATACTTTTGCAACGAATTTGACAGATAAAAATACCAAGAATTAAAGCATGCAATAAAATTGAAGTTTACCTAGAAAGGTTCATGTACTGAGCTAAAAGCTAAAAGCATAACATTGGACCCTCTCTTGGAGGCACATTTAAAGCATACATTTTTTATAATTGTTGCCAGAGGTTTGAGGATTTGAACACAGCAATGGTACTTACATAAATAGCCTCATACAGAATTTCTGTGAAACATCTCAACAGGAATATAAAGTATTGTACACAAATTTGGCAATAATGAGAAAATTTTGAACAACATTTGTGAAATTCAAAGGCTAAGCTTTGCTTAGTGAAACAGATAAATCTTGATTGAACCAAAGGGAAGAAAATAGAAATGTCTGAACACAAGGTGAAAATTGATGGTCTGGCAGTCTAATGCCAGTGACTAAACTGAGCATAACACATAGATAAGAGAAACAAATACATAGAAACAGAACTTAAGTAGAAATATAAATATGTATTATGACCACAATCATACAAACATACCAGCAGGCCCAGAAATATATAGAAATTCCATACTACTAATAATAGGAGAGACAGCCTAACTTTGGTCTGAATGCAGCCGATTGCAAAATATTAAAATTCATTAAATATTTAATAATTCAGTACTGTTTGTACATAAATGAATGTGCAACACATGACAGTCATTGGTCGTTAATTTGATTTTCATAAGAACTACATAACACGCCAGATTCTTCCAAATTTGCAATGGTGCCGAAATACAGTAATGCCCCTCTAAGATTCGTTACACAGTGGAAAAGGCCTACAGCTGTCACACTCAAGTGATGACACTACCATCACTAACTACTTGGCAAGGGGTGGGGCCTGGTGTGGTGACATGAGAAACGAAGAGGATGACAGATGAAAGGAGAAACAGAAAACGGGCCCACTGGTCATTGGTCGCTTACACCTGCAGACCCTGCTAAAGAAGAATACAACTGCTCTTCTCGCGGAACGGGTTCGCCTTCTCCGAGCTGAACCCGACCACCAGGCAGTCCTCCTGCTCGTGGTCCGAGATGAACTTCATGATGTCATGTACCGCTTGTGAGACGGTGATTCTCTTGATCGCTGCCTCCCGCCGCAGCTGTTCCGTCACTTGCCTTTGTTGTTGCAAGTTAGAAATCATCATATCCATAACAGCAGTATCCGACAGGCCTATTTTTACAGGGTGTGGTGAACACTTGGGGAGGAAAACTTGGCCTGACGGCCTGCGCACTGGCACACACTCGCACTTCACGAAATGCCGCCCCCAACGAGCTCTTCGCTCGGAGCAGGCGGACTTGGGCTGACTCGGCCGGACTCAAGCAGAGGTGATGATGCAGAAATGGGGCTGCAAAGCTTGGACCACAGCGTCGGCACTTGCAACAAGTTTCCACTTCAATGACAAGCGCTCGTACCGAAACAAAATGGCTTCCTCCGTACCCCAACAGCAACAGCCTTTCAAGAAGAAAACAAACACTTCCTAGCAGAAAGCAAAATCGAGATCTCGAAGCGGAAGTGGAAGATCCGCGCTGTGATTGGCTGCCCGAGCAGAGCCATTGCCAACGCCAGAAAAACGTCCACCTTGGTTTTCACCCAGTTTGCGTTCAACAAATAAACTATTTCTTTCGTAAAATTTGATTTTAGCCGTTTAAAATGCTTGATAGTGAAAATTAAATTGTAAACAGATGGTATCTTGATAAATATGAGCGGTTGGATGGGTCGTGATAGTTGGACAGCCCGCGCGTTGTCGTCTGCTATCGCCCTTGCCTGTTTACCCGCCACGATTGAAAGCATTTGAACAGGTTTAGAGCAATAAGTCGTTTCCAGTGGCAAACTGGCTGAAGTTTTTCAATCAACCGAGACTTGAAATCGTGTGATATTCCAAATTTAATTCCATCGCTTCTCCTCTGGAAAGTTAATGCAAGAAGCGGATTCCTTCATTTTGAAACAAGCCCCATACACTGTTTTTGCACTTAAATGCTAATGAAATGTGTGACGTGAATACCTTGATCTTCAGAAAGTTTCGCTTTAATGACGTGTCGCGTTCTTCCTGCATGACTAACTACTGTAGTACACATTAAACAGCAGCGGCGCGTTCCACGCCCGAAATCCACGCTTATCGAAGCGCGTAGTCACGTTGCTAAAAGTATCCCTTGCTCCGCCTTGCTCGGCCTTGAACCCCTCTCAGCCGTGACACATTGATCGACTCTCGGTCGCAGATTTTTCTCGATAATCCGTGCCATGGGTGTCGTCAGCCGTCTGCGGACCGATTGATTCCACACGTCGCTTTCGTCGCTCTGTCTCTCTCGCACTCGTGGGGTGGTCGGCCAGTGTGTGTGCGAGGGAGACAGAGCGCGCATGCCACGGGTGGCCACGAGGTGGCGATGCAAGCGGCGCCCGCCGTATCTCCGTCGCCCACGTCTACCCACGCCTGCAGCAGACTGACATAGACCTCTGCTTCCCGCAAGGGTGCGAGAGAGTCAGAATGTCGAGCAGTGCTCGGAATCGCTGCTGTTGAGCCTTGCGCCTTGCTCCGCCCGCCGTCTGATTCCGAGCACTGCTTTCGTCGCTCTGTCTCTCTCGCACCCCTACGGACCGCCCCATGAGTGAGTGCGAGAGAGACAGAGCGACGAAAGCAGTGCTCGGAATCAGACGGCTGCTCAGCGTCTTCCCGCGTCTCTGCAGACTGATTCCGAAGAAGAGTTGTTTCGTCGCGCTGTCTCTGTCGCACTCACGGCATGGATGCCGTAGGACGCGAGAGAGAGAGAGAGAGAGAGACAGTGCGACGAAACAACTCTTCGGAGTGGCTGCTGATTGATCATGTTCGCCCCCAGTAGACCGCCGTCTGCCCTGGCCCGCCCGCCACGCCACTGTATGCCGCCGCCGAAATTTCTGAGGCGCGTGTTGCGAGGCCCGAACATTATACATGTATCTGCAGTGACATCAAAATGGAGTGAGAGCGGACATTTCCCGGAGTCGAAGAAAAGAGTTTCTGAATGTCATTATCCTGAAAAGGCCTTTCTATCTCACTTCGACTGCTTCGTCGATGTTGAGCGCGTTCGAGATTGCGCCATGCCCGCGGGGCGTCAAGTTCTCTCCTACACTGGTGCTGGGTTTTGCCAGAGCGTCACAGTGGGTGCGTAGGTCGCTGCCTTCGTGGCGGTGAATAAGGCCCGAAACCGGAACCCGAAGGGAGAACCGATTGATACATTTCCGGCGTTCCGTTCTACTGATGCAAGTGGGACCGAGACTGGGACCAACCTACAGAGTCGCTGAGGACTCACTTTCCCGCCTCATGATAAGGTAACGCGTCCCAAATGACCTGCGCCGAAGTCGGAGCCGAGCGGACCGCCAGTGAGTCTCGCCGCGTCGCATGCGGTCGCATGACCCAACAGGTCAACCGCCTCTCCGGGCCAAGCAGGGCCGAGCGCGCGCGGCGCGGATGTATGTACTGTCCTACTCTGCCCGAAAGGGTCCAGCCACTCGCTGGCGTTGCAGGCGCGGATCCAGAGAGGGGGAAAGCAAAATGTTGCATTTTACCCCTGACTGTAGGCAACCCTTTTTGCCTTCTGTGAGCGTGAGCTGCCTTTCTAAGGGTGGCAATGCTAGAACGGCCACCCCGCTGTGAAACTACCTATGGCGGCAAAGGTCACAAAAACTTTTCTTGTCGTTTTCGAGTGGGTATCCCCTCCCCTTTATCTCAGGTTCTTCTGGCTCCTCCCTCAACAGAGACCACTGCGGGAAACCACCAAATCTGGTCACCCTCGGCTGACCACCGCTGGCGGCAGCTTCGTTCGTCTAGGGTTGCCGCCCGTTGCTGCAGGTACCGACGTGCGTCTAGGGATGCCGCCCGTCGCTGCAGGTACTAACGTGCGTCTAGGGTTGCCGCTCACCGCTGCAGGTACCGACGTGCGTCTAGGGTTGCCGCCCGTCGCTGCAGGTACCGACGTGCGTCTAGGGTTGCCGCCCGTCGCTGCAGGTACCGACGTGCGCCCACATGGTCGCGGCGTGTCTCTGCGTGTCGCGACTGGCTTGCGCGGCGTGGCTGGGCGTGGCGCGATGCGCGGTGCGCGGTGCCTGACCTAGGGTAGCCCGGCGCCACCGCGCCACGTGGGTGCGCCAGTTGCGCTGTGCGGGGTGGCGATTGGCGGCGATTGGCGGGGACATCCACGCGCCGACGCCGGTAGAGACCGCCGGCCGCCACGCCCTCCCCGCCGTCCCCGCGGTACCGGCGATACCGATCCGAGTCAGGCACTAAACTCGCGCCGTGAGTCAGAGCTAGACCAGTTTGATATTCCGAACCGTGTCGCACTGTCTCTCTCCCACCTCGCGGGGAAGACCATGGCCGGTGCGAGAGAGACAGACAGCGCGACGAGACCTGTTAGGAATCGAACGACGGGCAGGCGAGTGACTCCGAAGGATCGTTTCGTCGCTCGCTCTCTCTCTTTCTTTCTTTCTCTCGCATCCTTACGGGACGCCGCACAGGTGCGACAGAGACAGCGACGAAATGACCCTTCGGAGTCACTCGCCAGACTCGACAATGAGGTTGGCAGTGCCTCGGCAGTGCTGCCGTGCGGCGCGTGGCTAGATACTAGATGGCGGCGGGCTGCAAAGGGTGACGCACTGTTTCACTGTTGGAGGGAATGACCGAACGAACGGCAGGTCGTCCTTATTTTCGGCGCCCGCTTTGGGGACGCCCCCCGCGGCGGGCCCGTCCGGACGGCCCGGCCCCTCTGTACCAACGTGTCCTGTACTGTCCTGCCCCACTCGCGGCCCTCCCCCTGCCTCTCACTCTTTCCCCGTCGTGCCGGCCTGCCGGGGGGCACCGGCTTCGGCTGCCAGCCCCGTCTGCCCGGCCGCGAGCTTGGCCGCGAGAGGCAGCGAGGCGGCGAGGCAGCGCCGCGCGGCGGGGCTGGGGCGGATGAGGTGATGTGAGGTGAGCGGGGCGGGAGGGGAGGGGGAGGGGAAGGGAGGGGAGGGGGAGCCGGTCGTGCCGCGGGCCTGGCGGCCTGCCCCGCCGGTTCATTCTTGCAGTGGATTCGGAGGGGAGCGCACGCAGCCCGTCGCCGCCGAGGTGTGTCTTGGTGCCCAGCGTGACCACGACCGTGCGCTCGCCGTTCTCGTCGTCCTCGTCGTCCTCGCGGACCTTCCCCGACCAGGACGCCAGGACCGCCTTGAGCCGTCACCACCAGCCCGCCGCAGGACCACTGTAACGCGGCAACGCGGCCACGCCACTGCTAGAGACTCCGCCGGCCCGGCGTCCTTGACGAGGTCCTCGACGTGCACGCGGACGACCAGCACCCGGGGCACGACGGCGGCCGCGACGGCGACCCTCACGCACGGCGCGCACGGCTCCCCGGTCGCCGTGTTGGAGAAAATCAGCGCCACCCTCTGCAACTTACGGTGAGTCCACTTTCTCTGCGTTTGCGGGACTCGTAGTTTTCCTGGAGGGAGGCGGCGGCGTGTTCTAGAACGGTGTGCGGTGGGAGGAGCCGTCGTTGTCAGGACGAGTTGTTCATGGCGACGGGCAGCTTGGCCGCGGCCGCACAGTGGGCCAGAAGACGGGTGGCGGCAGCCAAACTTCGAGACGCGGCGGCTCCAGAGCCGCTCAATGAGACGCGAACCGAACGTGTGACCCCACCAATGGATTGCTCTCCGAACGAGCTAGGAATCCCTTCGTGGGGTCACACGTTCGGTTCGAGTCCTGTTTAGCTACTCCGGAGCTCAAAACGCTTCTAGAGTTTTGACCGCCTCCACCGGTCTTCTGGCCCACTGTGGGCCAGGGGGAAGAAACCGCGCCGCCGAGTGGCGCTCGTTCTTTCCTGCGGGTATAGTTTCTGTTCCGTCGCACCTGGCGCTGCAGCCCACTTCCGAGAGTCGCTTTCGTCGCTCTGTCTGTCTCACACCTTCGCGGGACACCGCAGGAGTGCGAGAGAGACAGAGCGAGGCTGCTGGCGCTGCACCGGTTCCAGGCCGTTGCGCTTGGCGCTCGTCGGAGTCCCGCTGGACCCCGCTGCCTTATCGCCGTGCGCGCCGTGCGGCTGTGGCACTGCATAGTGCGTCATGCAGGCCGAATCTGCATCGCGCTCCACGCGCCGGTCCAGACAGGTCCTGACATGCCGCGTCGATACCCCGTGCCCGGGGCATGTCCGCAAGGCGGGCCTCGCAAGTCCACGCGCCGGTCCAGACAGGGGACAGGTCCTGACATGCCGCGTCGATACCCCGCGCCCGGGGCATGTCCGCAAGGCGGGCCTCGCAAGTCCCTCGCGCGCGGAGTAGCGACGACGCACAGTGGGCCAGAAACCGGCGCAGGCGGCCAAAATTCCAGACGCATTTTGAGGGCCAGAAACGCTAAATGGGACTCGAAACCGAGCGTGTGACCCCACCAATGGATTCCTCGTTCGGAGAGCAATCCATTGGTGGGGTCACACGTGCGATTCGAGTCTCATTTAGCGACTCTGGAGCTCAAAACGCGTCTAGAATTTTGGCCGCCTGCGCCGGTTACTGGCCCACTGTGCGACGGTCGTTCCCTCTGTGACCAGCGGCCCAGCTGTGCTGCAGGCTGCAGGCGGGTGTTCTGAACTCTGCATTCGTCGCTCTGTCTCTCTCGCACTTATGGTTGCAGCCCCACTGTGCTTCAGACTGGGGTGCCGAGCGGTGATTTCGTCGCTCCCTCTCGCACTGGTAGGGCGTTGCGGATGGTGCGAGAAGGACAGGGCGACGAAGCGGTATTCCCTGCAGCGGCCGTACAGCTCCGCTGTGCTCCGCCATCGTCCTCGGCCAGCCCGGCCCGGCCCGGCCCGCAGGAGGCGGCAGGAGGCCCCCAAATTACCATGGCCGTGCCGCGCCGTGCCGCGCCGCTCCTTGAGCGCACCAGACTGATTCCGAGAGTCGTTTTCGTCGCTCCGTCTCTCCCACTCGTCGGGCGTCCCGTAAAGGTGCGAGAGAGACAGAGCGACGAAAGTGACTCCCAGTGCGCTGCAGTGCTGCCAGGTCCAGGTCTCCGCCGGGCTCCGTGCCGCGGTCCCGGACGCCTACGCCACTGGCCGCCGCCGCCCTGGTTGCGCCTCGCCCCTTCCCCGCGGCCCCTCTAGGCCGGGCGGGGTGGGGTGGGGCGGGCGGGGCGGGGCGGGGCAGGCGGGGTGGGGCGGGGCGGGGCGGGGCGGGGTGGGGCGGGGCGGGGGGTAATTGCCTAGTAACAGGAGAAATGTTGCGCCCGGCCTGCGGTACTGTGGTAATGCTCTGCCCCGCCGCGCCCCGCCCGCGGTGAAACCTCCCTCCTCGCCAAAGAAACGGCGGGTGCGGCTCCGTGGAAACTTTGTCGGCCACGCGGCGCTAGGCGGCGCCGTCCGAACGCCGCCAAACGCCAAAATGGAGGGAGATTGACGAGGCAAAGGCGGGACGCGGCGGCGCTGCCATGGCGCTGCCGAGGGTGAAGCGGGCACGAGGCGCGCCGAAGGCAGGCAGTGCCGCGAAGGCCGTCGAGGGCTCGCGGATGGTGAGCGCAAACATCAGAAATCGATCGTTGTGTTGTTGCGGTGGGGCCAAAGGACCGGTGGAGGCGGCCAAAACTCTAGACGCGTTTTGAGCTCCGGAGTCGCTTAACAGGACTCGAACTGAACGTGTGACCCCACCAATGGATTCCTCGTTCGGAGAGCCATCCATTGGTGGGGTCACATGCTCGGTTCGAGTCCGGAGCGCGGCGTGGCTCGCGCTGAGGAGATGATTTTGGCTCTCGGCTGCAAAAAGTGCACGCGGCTGGTGCAGCGTGGCCGCGGCGCGGCGCGCGGTCAGCACTGCTGCTTCGTTTCTGCCGATGCCGCCGGTCGCGGCCCTGCAGGCCACGCCACTGCCAACAGCTGTTCGCGCCGGATTCACCTGTCTCGGCTGCCTTTCGGCTGCTTTCAGCGTTTCTGGCCGAGCGGTTCCACCGTCCGCATTTCTCGCTCCGTCTCTCTCGCACTCACGGAGTGTGCCGTAGGGGTGCGAGAGAGACAGAGCGACACAGCGGTCTCGCGCTTCGCTCCCGCTCCGCGTCCTGGCCCCCGATATCGTCGCCCCGATCCGTTCGAACTGAACCCATTGGCGTGGGTGGGTGCCGTGCCGTGCCGGCTGCCGGGTCGAATCTGGCTGCGTGACTTTCGTGGGGGTCACTAGGATGGGCCCGGGATAGAGAAGAATGGTAGAACGGCGCACAGTGGGCCAGAAACCGGCGGAGGCGGCCAAAATTCGAGACGCGTTTTGAGCTCCAGAGTCGCTTAATGGGGTTCAAACCGAGCGTGTGACCCCACCAATGGATTGCTCTTCGATTCGATTCGAGTCTCATTTAGCGACTCTGGAGCTCAAAACGCGTCTCGAATTTTGGCCACCTGCGCCGGTTGCTGGCCCACTGTGTGGCGTGAACGGGGTTGGGGGGGGGGGGATTCTTCCCTCACGCCGAGGGTCCGGCCAGGCTCCTCGAGCGTCCTTCATGCCCCCTTCTCCGGCGTGCCGTCCAGCACCTCGACTCCGAACAGCGCGCTCGTCGCTCTGTCTCTCTCGCACTGGTGCGGGGCGGCCCGTGAGTGCGAGAGAGACAGGCCCTCTAATCCCTGGCCGTGCCGGAAGTCTCCTGGCGGTGATTCAAGTCTGCCGGCAAGACGCGACGCGACGCCCGGGCCGGGTATGCCGGCATGGCGCTTGCGTCAGAGTGCATCTCGCCGGGGAAAGGGCTCCGCGACGCTCGTCGCTCTGTCTCTCTCGCACCCTCATGGAGAGCCCCACGGGTGTGACAGAGACGGAGCGACGAAACGACTCTTCTGGATCGCTCGGCCGGCCGGCCGGCCACCGAGATCGGGGCCTTCTCCATCTGCAGAGCGATTCATACGGATCGCTTCTTCTGGGATCGCTCGGCTGCCGGCCGCTCCCCGCACAGTGGGTCAGAAACCGGCGGAGGCGGCCAAAATTCGAGACGCGTTTTGAGCTCCAGAGTCACTAAGCAGGACTCGAACCGAACGTGTGACCCCACCAATGGATTCCTCGTCCTGAGAGCAATCCATTGGTGGGGTCACACGTTCGATTCGAGTCCCATTTAGCGACTCTGGAGCTCAGAACGCGTCTCGAATTTTGGCCGCCTCCGCCGGTTTCTGGCCCACTGTGCGCCGCAGCGCAGCAGCGCAGCGACGTGTACTGTATCGACTGTATATCGGAATCCACCGCGAGCCAGATTCGACCATTCGATTTCGACATCGATCCGGCGTTCGACGTCGCCGAGCGCTCGGAGCCATGCGCGTGGCGTGGCGACGCGGCCGCGGCAACGACCCGCCGCGCCGGGAAGCAGCACTTGCTTCGACGGCTTCCTGTGATGCCGGTCCCGGCGGTCCCGGCGGTCCCGTCCGTTTCGGGTCCTTTGGCGGGGCGCTAGAAGGACGCCGTGTCTGGCCCGGCGGCTCGCGGCGGCGCGCGGCGAGGAAGAGAGAGCGAGGGAAGGGGAGAGGCGGAGAGAGAGGGAGATACCGGCGGCCGGGCGTGCATACTAGTTTCCGGACGTCAATGCCACGCGCCGGTCTGCCACATGTCGCCGCGTCGCGTGGGCTTTCCCGGCCCGGGCCGTCGCGCCGTGGTGGCGCCGGCCCAGGTTCGAATACCGCCTATTTACTCCAGTTTTTTTTTCGGCGGGTGTTCATCTTCTTCGCTGACCCCGACCATATCAGAGCCTCGCCGCGACGGTCGTCGCAAGGCGATAATTAGGCCAAGTAGTGGCTGGTCTGTCTGTCCGCTGGTCTGTCTGTCTGTCTGTCTGTCTGTCTGTCTGTCTATCTGTCTGTCTGTCTGTCTGTCTATCTGTCTGTCTGTCCGTCTGTCTGTCTATCTGTCTGCCTGTCTCTGTCCGCCTGCCTATCTGTCCGGCCGTCTGGTCGTCCAACCGTTTGTTCATCTGTCTGGCTGTCCGTCATGTCTGACCGTCTGTCTGTCAGTCTGTCTGGCTGTCCGTCCCCCCGTCTGCCTGTCTGTCTGTCTGTCTGTCTGTCTGTCTGTCCGTGCGTCCGCGTGTCGCCCGAACGGGGAGCCTCGCGGCCGTCAAGGTAACGCCCGTCCCGATGGGATGCCTCGCTGCCCGCATCGTCCGGACTGACGCAACAGCCGACGCACGTGCGTCTATCTGCAGCAACCTTCCGGCGTGGCGCGGCCTGCACATGCTTTTGGCTTCGGCGACGGCAGCCGTTCGAAGAAATGTTGAAAGACGAATAAAATTGGGCTGTTGGAGTGTCTTGCGTGCGCGCGGCGGCGGCCGGAGCCCGTAATGGTAATGGTAATGAGGCGTACGGTAGGCAGTCCCGCCGCGCGCGGCAGGGAGTTGCTTGCCTACCGCCACGGCGCTCCACGGCGGCGTGGGTAGGCAGTCCCGCCGCGCGCGGCAGGGA